ATTGGCCTTTGATTTTATCAATCAAAAGGCCAGATTACTATATATATACACGGAGAACAACTGAGTTAAAGTCGCCGCAACATCCTAAGTAGCGTATGTGACAAGTAAAGTAAAGAGAATTATATATAGTTTTATTGGAGCGGGGTATTCTACGGCTAACGAAAATATGAAAGTGTAGTACAGTGTGTGCAATTTCTATGTAATTAGCGATATAATAGTTACGATAACCCCACATAATCACCTCACCATCATTGTAACCATCACCCTAACCCTAACCCTAAACCTCACCTTCACCATCCCTTAACCCTAAACCTAAACCTAATCCTCACCCTCAACCTCAACCTCACCCCCACCCCCACCCCCACCCTAACCCTAACCCTAACCCTCAGCATCACCCCCACCCTCACCCCTACACTAACCCTAACCCTAACCCTCAACCTCACCATCACCCCCACACTCACCCTCACATAACCCTAACCCTCATCTAACCCTAACCCTCACCCCTACGCTCACCCTCACTACCCTACATGTAATTAGAATAGAAATAAAACAGGGGGAAATAAAATAAAACAATGAAAAGTTGGTTGTCTCTGATGTACTTTTAAAATAATCATAACATACTAATTTCTTTGCTATATTCAAACCTTAATTCTAATTTCATCTCGTCTAAAAAAATGTACGTGTGTTTTACTACACTAAATGGATCTTGTTTAAAAAAAGAATTAAATGGATCTTTTTCGGAATTTTTATCTAGTCCCAGTCTTATTTCAAACATATAATTGAATTCAGAGCATTTTACGTTAGTTATAATAATGTTGAATCGCTGTGCTGACTCATAAAACAATGAATAAATTATAATACGCCGATTGTAATATCTTAGTAATTTTAAAACCTAACAGCAAGTTAACCCATTTTGTTTTTGCTGATCAAGAGCTCCTTTTCGATGGTGGCTAGGTTAGGATTAGTATCAAAGTTAGAATTAGAATAGGAGTATAGAAAAGATTACTACAAAGTTTCATTATAACAATCTAATAATAGACCCTCATAATCTTGCTATAATCATACCCATAGCCTAACCTCAGCCTAACTTTAAAACCCCAACCCTAACCGCTGTCCATCACAACTCAAATCAACAAGAAAAAATATATTAACAAGCAGTCAAACTCCAGTAGCATCCATGTAATTGCAATAAAACTATAAATAAGATTGAGGGGAGATGGAAGGGGGTACCTTGGAGAGAGGGGGGAGATAGATCAGACGGCGGCGGCGACGGCCGGCGCGCTCCACCCACGGCGGCGGCGACGAGAGGGGGGGGCGCGGGTCTGGGAGATCGAGAGAGAGGGGAAGAAGGAGGGGGGTGCGGGTCTGAGTGCGGCGAAGGCGGCGACGAAGGCGGCGGCGACGAGGGTCTGAGTTGGGGGTTGCAGGATGCTGGAGCAAGAGAAGGGGAAAGAGAGGGGGGGGTCTCGGGTTCTGAGAGAAGGGGGGGTTGGTCTCGGTAAAAACGGGCGCGGGGTGCCCAAAATTTTGGGCGCCCGCGCCCGAAAATTTTTTCCCACCCGAAAGTTTTAGCGACGGATAATTCCGTCGTTAAAAACTTTTTTAGCGACGGAAATTCCATCGCTATATAAAATTTACCGACGGAATTTTATATTATCACTAATAATTTAGCGACGGAAATATTTAGTCGCTAAAATATCATTTTTCGTCGCTATAAAGTCATTTTCCTACGGTTAAATAGCGACGGAAATTCCGTCGCTATAAGTCATGTAATAGCGACGGAATTTTCCGTCGCTAAATATCCGTAGGCAATAATCCATTTTCTAGTAGTGGTATAAGTCCCCTCTGCTAAATAATAGTAAGTCATCAGCAAAAATTAGATGAGTGATTTCGAGTTTGCCACATTTTGGATGAAACTTGAACAACCTATCATGTCTCAACTGATCCAAGCTTCTTGAGAGATACTCCATACCCTGAATAAAGAGATAAGGGGAGAGAAGATCACCCTGCCTTAACCCTCTTTCACCCTTAAAATATCCATGGATTGAACCATTAAGGGAAATGGAATACTTTGGGGATGATATGCAAGCCATAACCTAGTCAATCATCACTTTAGGAAACCTCAGGCTCTTGAGCATTTCTCTCAAAAAATTCTGGCTTATAGTATCAAAGGCCTTTCTAATATCAATATTCAGCAAAGCTCTGAATGAAATGTGTTTTCTACTATAGCTTTTTACTAGTTCATGAGCTAACAAGATATTGCTTGTTATTTGTCTGCCCTTAACAAAAGCATTTTAAGCTTCATTTACAAGATACCCCATAACTGATTTAATTCTATTAGCTAGAATTTTAGAGATGAACTTGTAAAGACAGTTACAACATGATATAGGCCTAAAATCAGATGGAGTTTTTGGACATTGTACCTTTGGAATGAGAGTAATTGAGGTAGAACTAACCATGCCTAGCAATTTTCCAGATTTGAAGAATTCTTTAATGACTAATGTGACATCTTCTCCAATAATTGACTAAGCTGATTTAAAGAAAGAAACACCATAACCATCAGGACCTAGTGCCTTATTGTCAGACATGGAAAAGATTGTATTTCTAACTTCATCTTTGGAAACAAGAGCAGATAGAATCCTAGCTTGAGAGTTATTCATGCAAGGGCCAGATTGAATGATATTTTTATCTGGGTTAAGAGTATCAGTGGCAGTACCCATTAGGTTCTTGTATAACGAAATTAATTCATTTGCAATCTCATCTCCATTTGTTATCCTTTGTCCCATACCATTATAGAGAACCAACACTTTGTTATGGTGCCTGTTAGACTTTATAATTGAGTGAAACAAGATAGTGCACCTATCCCCTTTGATACTCCATGCAATTCTTGCCTTCTGTTGGTAAAAGGACATTTCACAATCCAGAAGCTTATTGTAAGCAGCGACGCATTCCTTTTCCTTGTTGATGAAAACAGGATTGAAAGGGCTAGTTTGAAGATTCTTTTGAGCATCCTCCAGTGCATGTCTAGCTCTCTGAGCCTGTTCACTAATATTGTAGAAATGTTTCCTATTAATCTCCTTTAGAGCACCCCTTAGTTTCTTTAGTTTAGAATAAACTGAGAACATTTTGCATCCTGTAATATTTAAATGTCAGATTCTAGAAACCGTGGGAAGAAAATTTTCATGCTTAGCCCACATTTTAAAAAATTTAAAAGGCATTTTCCCTTGCAAACATTCTTCATAGATTGATACTAGTGCTGGAGAGTGGTTAGAAAAATGAGGGAGCAAAAATTCAACTTGACTAGAGCTAAATATGTTAATCCATGAATCATTCACTAGAGCTCTATCAAGTCTACTCCATACTCTTGAGAACATGATCCTTCTTATTATTCCATGTATAAAACACCCTATTAATTTTAGGTGATTAAGATGGTAGCCATCTATAAAATCTTTGAAATCTTTAGTGTTAGCCTCAGAGAGCAGAGATCCACCAAGTTTTTCCTCATTACCAATCACAACATTGAAATCACCACAGAGGAGCCAAGGTGTATTACCTATTGATTGATGAATAAGCTTCAATTCTGACCATAAATCCTTTCTATTCTCCATAAGGTTATAACCATAAATTGAAGAAATGACACAATCAATTCTCCCATCCAAGGATTTAACTATGCATGTAATATGCTGAGCTGAGAGTTTAACAATTTGGATATCTAGAATATTAGGATCCCACATGATCAAAATTCTGGCTTTTCCAAGATCCCCAGCATTTGATATCCATCTTCAGTTGATTGCAATTTTCTTGGAAATTGCCCGCAACAAGTTGTCTTTTATTTTTGTTTTAAGAAGAGCTAGATAAGAGAAATGGTATTGTGATAAGTGACGCTTAACCAAAAGCTGTTTAGAGGATTTATTCAATCCTCTAACATTCTAGAAAGACAAATTCATCAAAACAATCCCCCTCTATCTATTGTAGAGGGATCAATATCCAACATATCCAACTGTGAGAATGAATTAACATGGATGAGAGACTTCTTATGTTTGCTACCTTGAACTTGAATCCAAGAGCTCACACCCTGAGGAGAGCCCTTGAAGTTAATGTTATCCTCATATCCATCCTGCTGGACATGCACAACATGCGCAGGCCTGTGTGCAACAGAATATCTAAATTTTTGTAGTTGCATAAATTTTTGTTGTTGATGAGATGTAGATTCTCCTTTTGCTATCAAGACCCCATGCTCAGACTGTTGTATATTATTATGTTGTTGTTGAGATGTAGATGGACCTTTTGACTGTATTTTCCTAGCATCCAAGTTCTGCTGAATAGTTTCAACCAAAACATGCACAGAATTATGAACAACAATGCTAAGGATAATATGTGTACTTTTCATTTGAGTAAGTTCCCTTTCTTTTTCAGCTGTGTTTGGGATATCATTTGTACTATCTTCTTGAGTAAATTCCCTCTCAATCTCAACATTGCCAGGATTTTGTTTTTGCTTAGAGATCCATCTTTGAATCCTAGGATGTCTTTTACACAGGCTTGTATCATGGCCTATTTTTTTTACACAAATCACACCATCTAGGCTTCAATTCATAAAGCATTTTTTGATTGAACTGTTTTCCATTTGGTCCTTGAATGGTAATTTGATCAGGAAGAGGAGAAGGCATGTGAACTTCAACAATAACCCTAGCATATGCCAGACGCTGTCATTTGGCTGTTAATTTGTCAGTAGCAATTGGTCGACCAATAACACTGGCAATTTTGCTGATGCTTTTAGCATTCCACAGATTAAGTCTTAATGCTGGAAATTGTATCCACATAGGGTAGACACATTCATTAGATTTTTCATTGTCTTCACCAATAGTCCAAGGCTTCAATGAAAGAGGCCGAGAGCAAAAAAACCAAGGACCTTTACTAAGAATCTCATTCATATCATCTTTGCTCTTAAATTTAAACAGGAATATACCAGGTTTGATAAGGCAAACTTCAGGAATTGTCAT